TACTTCGGTGTATAGGACGCAAGCAGATTTTGACATAGAATTTTGGGGTAAAAAAGTATGTCTTATACACCGATAAATACAGTATGTAGCATGCATATCGGTGGAAATTTGCCATCTTACATTAATTATTGGTACCACAGATATGTAAAATATAACTCACTCTTGAAGTAGAGAAAATAGAAAGAAAGCTTACACATCACTTTGGCTTGTGTAAATTCTGTCAAATAAAGCTTCTGGTGCCATCCATTTCACTGGAAGACGTCCCTAGAATATAAAATGTTCCTCAGCTAATTCAGAAAAGTATTTAAGAGCATTCAATTAGCAAAGTACAGGATAAAATAATTACAAGAAGAATTAGCATGAGTTGCTAACTTGCATCTAGTAATGACAGTTCTATAAAAAAGTCTGTTATACAGAATAAGTTAATAATTACCTTCGACATTTTTTTATAATAATAAATTATGCAGGCTCAAAAATATGATGAATCACAAAATAATAAACCCAATAATCCTACTACTTTCTGAAGAAAGATCTTCTTTCTTCAAAGGCAACTCAGTTTACTCTTGATAGGGAAAGGTCTTGACCAGCTCTGACTCAGTTTATTGCAAAAGAAAAGGTCTACCTTTGAAACTGCTCAGAGTATCAAGTTTCTTTTTTTTTCATTAAAAACATTTATTTTTTTTGATGATCCAAACTATAGATATATTAGAATGCAATAAGAGATTGCCAGGAAATATCAAAATAGAGAATTTCTAATGTATTTAAGCTGATCTAAGAACCAACAGAATCAACTCGTACATCTGTGGTCTTCTTGTAGTAATCTATGTTATGTACATCTCGAGCCAAACCAAAGTCTGCTATCTTCATCACTTTATCTTCTGTAACCAGAACATTACGTGCTGCCAAGTCTCGATGGATACACTGAAAAAGTTAAAAATCCATATTAGTAAAAAATATTTTTATAGAAAATATTTTGAATAAGTGATGTTCTTATACTTCTTACTGTCAATTCTTTAATAACTAATACAAAGTGGAAGACATCATTTTCAGTGTAAACTGTTTTACTAATCCTCACAATCATATCAATGCATGACAGTTTTTGTTTCGTTCATTATGTAGGAAATACATGAACCAAATATTTAAAGAAACCTTTATGAATCTGTTCACTAATAGATTGAAATAATATTTAATACAAGTGGTCAATGATGCACATGCACACTACTTTAACAAAGTCAAACAATTTCACGGCTTGTTTTACGATAGGAATTGGAATATTTAATCTGAACAGCACTTTCAACAAAATGCCACATAAAAGACTAGTAAAGAAAGTTATTTCTGTTTGTGCAGGAGATAAGTTAGCTCAATGGATTAATGATTGATTAGGGGAAGGTTTGTTATAAATGGAGCTCAGTCAAACTAGATTGGAGTTGCAAGAGGAGCACCAAAGTGCTCTGTGGTAAAATCCTTAATCTTTTTTTGATATACAACAAGAATATTACTAGAGAAATTGTCAATAAATTGGTCAAGTTTGATGGCAATATTAAATTTTTTGTGTAATTAGCTGTGAGGAAGATGCTAGATTTGGACCATTTGGAAAATACATAGCAGATACTATTTAATTATGCTGAGTGCATGGTAATGTATGTGAGCTACCCTAATTTAAGCTATAATCACTACCTTGATGGAAATCAACTCAATAGTGTTTAGAAAAAAAGAATATTGTGCTTTGGTCAATCAATCTCTTAAGCCTTCCAGGTGGTTTATTGTTCTAAATGAGAAAGCAACTAGGATCTTGTGTTGTATCTACAGGAATATTAAATGTAAGTCAAAGGTTGTTGTCTAGAGACAATTTAGGCCTCATTCAAAGCACTGTATTCAGTTGGGCTTCTTACTTTAAGAAGGACACTGAGTTGTTGGAAATGGTTCAAAGTAGGACTACTAGAATGACTCCTAGGATGAAGAGATTGTCCTATAAGGACAGGATTAAATTGCTTAAAATTATTTTCTATTGAAAAAAGAAGGGTTAGAAAGAATCTGATTGAAGTGTTCAAAATTACATAAGGAATAGATATGTGGTAGAACAAGGGGAAATATATTTGGTAGGGTTGGAATTGTTTGAAAATTAGGCAATTCTATTTTTTGAACAGGTTGGTCAGTATTTGGAATAGATTGCCTTCAGATGTAGCAGATGCAACGGGATCAGGAGAGTTCAAGAGAGAGTTTACAAGTACTTGGGTAGGTAGGTTTTTGTGGTTTATTTGCACAAAGCAACAAGTACTTAGGGAGTCAGGGCTGGATGTATTGGCAGATGGGTGTTTGAGAAAATAAATGGGACAGCCATGATGAGCCAAAGGACTCTTAGTTGTCCCTCAAATGTTGTGAACCATAAGCTAAATAGTCCTAGGGTTCAATTTTTAACTACTGACCACAGTGAGGGGGCAATCAGTCAGAAGCAGCACTCACTGTCACAAGGGTTTTGTCCAGTTCTTCAAAGTGAAACTGGCTGCCACTTGTAATACAGTAACAGCTAAAAGTGTCAGGTATAGTCAGTGACATCACAGCTCAAATTTGGATGCTCCAATCTACAACCTAATAAGCTAACCAATAGACTATCCCTGACTCATTGTTGCAATGCAACTTACAATCCTGTGGAATATATTACTAGATATACAGTAAAGGAAAAGAACATAATGAAGTGCATACCTTTCTTGAAGTCAAATATTCCATTCCACGAGCAACTTGGTAGGCAAATGATATCAGGTCTTTCTGTATCAGAGTCTTTGGTTTCAAATCAATTCCAATAGCTCGTTCATATCCTGAGCTAGGGCGGTGAGCACGTAAAAAGTCTCGCAAGTTGCCATTAGGTGCATATTCCACAACAACATATAGTGGTCCTATAAAAATGTTGTACTCTGACATACTACAAATACTTTATGTTGAATATACATAAGCTACCTAAATATTTAAAGATAAATGCACATGCCTGTAGAAATATATTAAAATCTGTACAAAATAGCAACACAACCAACTTACATAACTGAAGAATATTCATTTAATGTGCTGAAAGTTGTACCTTTGACTTCACTAGAACAGTATACTAAAAATGATTATGAATAATACTTTTGAGTATCATTTATGTGTTCTGCAGTGAAATAACTTTTAAGTCCATCTTTGCTTATCTTACAGAAAGTTAACCTCAAATATTAAGCAATTTTCAGATGAAATTTTAAAACATTATGATATTAATTTCTAAAAATTAGTTTTTTACTATAAAATCATTATTTCAATTATTATTATTATTAATGAAAAACTAAAGTAAGAAGTATCACCTACCATCATGAGTACAACAGCCTAAAAGATTGATGATATTCACATGCTTTCCAATCATCTTCATAACTTCCATTTCTGATACCAAATTAGCAAGTTCCTGATCAGTATGGGCATCTTTTTCAGAAAAACAAAACTCTCATTAACATCACAATCACTCAAACATTTACCATTATATTCAGACAAAAACTTAAAAATAATTCCACAAGTTTTTGTAATCAACTGATATTTTTGGGTTGAAGTAATAGGAATTTTCACAAACCAAATACTTTATTTTGCAAAGACTCCAATAAGGAGAGAACTGTGTAAAATCATAATTCAAACATAGTCCTCATCATTTGTGTTTTTATATTCTTTGTTCTGTAATTATGAATCTAGCTTTTTATATACCTTTCAACATCTTCACAGCCACAACAGATGGACCTTCTTTATTTGTTAATCCATATGCATCTCCCTTCCTGACTTGTCCAAAAGCTCCTTCACCGAGCACATTACCCAAGACTATTCTGAAATGAATAAACAATATTTAATGAAGAGTGTAGTTAAACAATGTTTAAGCTTCAGTCACTAGAACCATTTTAAACTTGACAGTCTAATATCATTTCAAGTTTGAAACTTTTATATCACAATTGTATGTAATTCTAAGGAAAAATTTATAAAACAGTCACTTTAACTAACATTAAACAGGGAGTTTAGTAATTCTGTAAAATCTGAATTTATAAAATCAATTTAGTGCACAAAAATGCACAAATTTTTCATTTAAACAAATGGTGACATAAAAAGATTAAAAATTTTAAAATTTAGTGACTTAAAAATTTATACTAACATTTCAATAGTAATTCTCTAGAAGTAATATAATTCATGACTTTTTGTCCTCGAAACTTAAACAGTGAATTTTCATATTTAATACCATATAAAACAAAAGCATTAATTACTTTCAGAAAGGTATATATATTTTAGAAAATAATGTGTTCTGATGTTAAAAGAAGAAAATTTTAACTTTGAGTTAGAAATACACTGAAAAAGTTCTACACATTTATTTAAGTAAAGTTACTAAAACTGGAATCTCCATTAAAATGACTGTAAACATTATGACACATAAGTTTTGCAATCAAAGAGAACAAGCTAATAATTTTTTAAATTCCAGTTGAACTGAAAAATATAAGAAATAAAAATCTTGTACTCTGTCAGACTATCCAAGACATCAACGTTTGGGCATGACCAAACCTACAATTTTAGACAGTTATGATTTAATTTTCAAAAAGTATTTTTATATCTTACAATTAAATTTATTTTAAAGATCTTCATCAAATCTTTTACGGAGCAGGAGCAAGTGACAAACACAAGGAATATTAGAGAACAAAACATCTGAATAAAACAAATACCTTTCTCTAGGAAACTCCCACAGTGGGTCTGGTGGAATTTCATATTCAGATACTGAAGTTCTATTTGAAGATGGATAGCCCTGCATCACATCTATCTTAACAAGTGGTGCTATTGATTGTTCTGATTTGTCAGTTTCCTTCAAAACAAAGCAAAATAAAAAAACAATGAGAGGAGAAACTAAAAATCTTAGAGAAGTGAATCACAACTTCTTATTAGTATTATAATCCTACATTAAAACAGATGAAATAAAAAACTAAACTAAATGTGTATACAGGTCAAACATATCATAATATTGTTACGACAGCGAAGGTCACGTGATGCTAGTAACACGTTATATTCTCGAAGGTTCGCGAAGCCTCGGGAGGTTGCTAGATTTCGGTATTCTGTACATATAAGACGGTCAGGACATGACGGCAACAATGTGTAATTGAACTGCGGACAGAGAGAGAGAGACGTATTGTTGAGCACGTGAGACGTTTGTTGTGAATTATAGCGTTTGTTATAGCGTGACCATGGAAATTAAGTGTATTGCAAAGTTGTATTTAGAAAGAATAAACCAGTTTTATTAAGAAAGGACTTGTATCGCTAAAGTTTCTTCAGAAAGAAATTATACGGAAAATTAACTAACAACGGAGGCGTAACAATATGAAACATATCTTGTTACACAGCCACTTTAAATAATATTAACTTAAGTTGTATTACAAACAAATTATTATTACAAGTATGATTTTTGTGGTGCTTAAGTTTACACAATTTTTATGATATTGTCAGGTCAGATGAGGGAAAAAAAAGATTCGTTAAAAGCTATTACTTACTGAATATAGCTTATTTCAAAACTTTTAACTTTTTCTCATACAAATGTTGTATTGTATGAAGCACTTACTTCAAATTGTTACTTTTTACCTGTACATAGTTTGAAAATGTCAAGTTTAAATTTGAAACATCATCAATATGAGTTTGAAACTTTATCTCATATTTATAGATTTAAATAAGTGAATGTTCTGTTTAAAGAAGTATAGGAACTTACATGTTTTTCTAGGATAACTTTCTTTTTGATGATGATTTGGTTCTGTGTAGTTATTAGATTGACTTTGTTTTTCTGCTGTTTAGTGAGTTGGTATCGACACAAGATAACACTGAGTAAAATCAGCACTAGCATACTTGAGAACACAACCACTAACACCATCCAAGAAAAGGTAGAAACTTCCACCACATTGCTTTCTCCAACACTTTCAGGCACTGATTGTATAAAAAAAAAGTATAATACCCTCAGTTACTATTTTAGTTTAAGAATAAGACAAGTAATCTAATGTTAAAACATACAAAAAATATTTTTTGTGCTTGAATATTAAAATATACATTATAATGTCTCATAAGTAACCATACCACTAGGTAAGTTGAGCGATGACTTCAGAAAAAGAAAAAAAAAGGTTTAAATCAATGCTTAATAAAAAGTAGCATAAAATAGTTTATATGAAAAATTTAATAAACACAAAAAATGCAAGATTAATTCTATCTGCTGTCTTACATGTATCTAATTTTACCGTACATTAGGTTAATAACTAAGAGATAGTTCTTTCCAAAAAAGATGTATGAAATTAAATTCACATATTTACTGGTCTACACTTTTTATGTAACCCGATTGTGTTTCATCAAAACAAATAACGTTTTAAAGTTGTTCATCATTATGGGCTGATTGCTACCCATTATAACATACAGTTTATTGTATTAAGTTCTTTCATGAGCATTAAGGTGTAAGCTAGTATATATGTGAATTTAATTAAAAAATTACATACATCTTTTTGGAAAAAAACTATACGCTATGTAATTTTTGAAATTATATTCACATATGTACTGGCTTACACCTTAATGCTCATGGAATAATTTAACACTCTACCACAACAAACAATCAAACTGTATGTTATAACGAGTAGCTGTTAAAAGGCAATAAACAGCCATAAGCTCATAATGATGAATAATTTTAAAACATTACTTGTTTTGGTGAAACACATTTAAGTTACTTACAAGTTGTTGTACTGTGAAATGTTAATACATATTTCCAGAATATGTTTCTATAGTAATTAGTTTATAAGTACAGCTGGGCACGTTAATCAATTATCTATGAGCAGTGATTACATTGATTAATGTCATGGAACTTAATCAATCTAAAAATAATAGTTAAATTGATTAGCCAAATTTAGTGTTTCTGATTTTCAGTTTTTCCAACAACTGATTAATCAAAATTCTAATTATATCAGTTTTCATGAAAATAATCAAAAGTTTAATTTTCCTATACTGAAAATATATTTCCAATAGGTACTTACCTCCCCTCACATAAGTAGCTATTCTCGTACATTGCTGCCTTCTATATACAAAAAAATATTTATGCATGCCACAAGCCTTTTATCTACCCTCCATTGGAATTGACTGATTCCAATGCATCTCTCATGCAAATTATAATGCGTCAGCCATACACTAATAAGAGGGTGACATACTCTCATGATGCATGCGACTCCCTCTATTCACTTTTACTGAACTATCATTTTGAGTATTGGCAGAAGGTAATAGCACCAGAATTGAGTGAGGAAGAAGGGAGGGAAGTGTGAGATTAGGTAAGTACTTATCAGAAATACATTTTCAGTATAGGAAAATTATAACTTCTCATACGGTACATTGTCTCCGTTGACATAGATAGCTAGAATCCCATATTCAATAGGTAGAGGGATAAGTGAGTCGGAAAGAAAGAAGTATTCTTCAAAAGTGTGTGAAGGACACTCCTTTAGAGGAAACAGTCAGATTCTAAGATTTGATGTGGGGGACCGCACCACTTCTGAACCAGGTATACTCTTTGCCCATTGTAGAAAGATATTGCACAAATGGGCAGAAAATGGAGGAGTACATCCAAAGGGGAGAAGAAAAAACTAGTGTCAGATAGTGATCTGAACCATATAATATTTATGCAACTCTATCCCATTAATTATAAAAGTGGGTAAAATTAAAAGGATGTGCCTCTAGGTGTAGAGTAGCTAGGGTCCAACAGACCATACACAGCAAGTCAACTACATCCAAAACCCATGCCACTGGGATATGACATCCACGTGGGAGTTAGGATGAGGATCATACACTAAGCAAGTCAACTACAATACAAAACCTAGGCCACCAGGAACTGACATCCAATGTGGGGGTAAGAAAGAGGATCATACCAGTAGCGAGTCAACTACAATCCAAAACCCATAGTAAATAGTGAGAGATGAACACATCATAGGTAATCCACATGCCCGATTGAAGAAGTACCTCCAAGGGACAATGAAGATGAAACACCAGTGAAAAGGTAAGGTGTCGAATTGGATGAGAAGACACCCGGAAGTACAGGAGGAAGAAGCCAATTGAATTAAGAGCTGAACCAAATTGGTGAAGGTGGAAGGAGAATGACCACAAACAGAGGACAGCTGCCAAGGAAGAAAAAGGTAGTAATGGACACCATAAAGGAAGACATGTGGGCAACATAACAGAGAAGAGCATATACAAGACATAGAGGTCTATATGGATCAGAATGAGGATAAAGGTGTGAAACGGAAGGAAGGTAAAGCGGCTAAATGGAGGACTTATCCTCATGAGCCACTGAAAAATTAGGAAGGAAAAATGATCCAGAGAGAAGATACAGAGAAGGATAAAGAGTATGTGAAACATCGATGGCAATTAAATAGCCCCAATGTCTGCAGGCAAGTAGGAGAAGGATGGAAAACATAAGAGGAGGGGAAACAAGGAACAGTGGCAGAGTGGTTAGAACATAGGCAATGTGAGGCAGTGCAGGACCAATTAATATTCCCATCCAGAGTGATAGCCTGCTGTGGTGGATGGCAAATCCAGAAGGAACATATCTACAGGTGAAGTGTAGGAGAGGTAAATGCCTGCGGGATCAGGAAAAATGAAAGGTGTGGGTCAGGGCTGCCCAAAAATTCAAGATCTAGGAGACAGAAAACCTCTGACACAAAAGTCAAGTGAGGAAATCTGCATGACGAAGAACATGACAAAATCCCTGGACCCAGAAACCAACAATGGAAAAATGTTCCATTTGTGTTAAGAAACTTCCATGTAGAAAGAGTGAATGAAACTAGCCAGAAAAGAAGCTAACCATTGGGAGAAGCCAGATCTCCTCGTCAAGGACCAGAGGAAAACCAGGCATGAAGAGGGAGGACACTAGTGATTGAGAATGGCAAAGAAGGGAAGGAGTCAGAGAAAGAGGTAATGGAGGTGGAAGTTGGAGTTGGAGAAGCCTCGGAAAGCACAGCTGAGATGGCCAGGAAAGAGACAGTGTCAAGAATGATCGAAATTACTGGAGAAGAAGGGGAATGGGAGGATAGACAAATATGTTGGTCCAATCCTGGCTAGAAACATCGATAGCCAGAGCAAGAAGACAAGGAACTGGAGACCAAAACCAAGGCAATTTGTGGTTAAGGGTCATAGCAAAAGCCTCAATGGGAATAATACCCCACTGAAGTTAATGTCACTGGAAAACAAGAGGATCAAAAGATCACTCCATTGGGTAGATGTTGCCTGGACAAGAACCCAGATCATAACACGCAATGAAATGACTAGAGCATCTGGGCCCAAAAAGAAAATCCAATGTATGAATACAAAGGGATGGAGAACAGGTGCCACCCTGGATCATCACCAGACGATTTATGGCCAGATGGAGAAAATGAAGCAAAACATCACTAACAGTGAAAAGCTCCAGGATGTTAATATGATAAGACCTCTCAGCCACAGACCAAAACCCCCTGTTGATCAGCCCATGCCCCCCCATCACCGAAGGGTTGCATCAATGAAATGTGAAAATCCTGATGATGAGGAGGAAGCATCACAACTGCCGACCTAGGAGTCTTATCTAACCACCAATGACAATCGTCGACAAGGATAGGAGGAAGGCTAATAAGAGCCAATAAAGGATCCCTTGCAAGATTCTACTGGTCGTGAAGAGCACACGAAAGAGCCCGCCATATGAGCCTGACCGAAGAGGATAAGGGCTATCATGGAAGATCACATCCTCAAAAGCAATAAAACCTCACAAGCTGCAATAGAACTGAAAACCTATCAAACAAAATCGACAGATAGGTGTAGAAAAAGAAAAACACCCATATGGACAAGATATTGGATACGGTGCAGTAAGGACTTCTCCAACTTGATTAACCAGTCCATTATAGTCACCTCCAGGAGCAGCTGATAAGAGTAACAGGCGAACTCCTGTTCATCACGATCTAACAGTAACCAGTGATCCAAAAAAGAGGAAAGCAAAGCCCAAGAGCCTGCAAGTGATGAATGAATGCTCTGAACACCCAACAAAACATATAGGGCCGAAGCAAGTCCAAAGGGCAGTGCCTGAAACAGATAAACCACCCCATGGAGAATAAACCAAAGAGAGGGTTGCGAGTGATGAGATATCGGGATATGCAAATAAGCATTCGTGACATTCCTCTTGGTCATCTATAAACCTGGAGAAAAAGCCCACCTAAGGGTGAAAAACGACCCCAAGGTAAAATGGGAATGGTTGAAAATTAGATTGAGGTGGGACAAACCTACTACAGGCCATAATCAAGGTTTGGCAAGAGGACAACAAACAGCCTGGAATAAAAGCCTGGTGAAATATTATGAACAGGTGCAATGGCCAATTGAGACAAAAAATCTTGTACCATCTCAGACGGATGCTGGCTGGTGAGCAGGATCCCAAATCATGGGGAAGGATACCAGAGACAAAGGAGGTGGAGAAATAGCTCTAATAAAACCAAAGGAACCCATGGATCTTTAGTGAAAGATCACTAAAGGGTAACAAAATCATACAGTCAAGCTTCCACTGGACCAGAACCCACTAGTTAGTTTCTGATACTTTTGGCGACATGCTCATTGACGTTGAATAAAACGACGGGATGAGAAATCCGTGGAAGAAGGACCAGGATGGAAAAGGAATATGGGCTTGTTGTGGCTCCAACTGCAACAAATGTGAAACCAAAGAGGAAAGGATAGAGTGTTGACACACAGATTACACATGAGATTCCAAAGTCTCAGATAGAAGATAGAAAACATATCACCAAAGTAAAAATATGCAAATCCCGAAAAGAAAGAGTCAGCAAATGCACCCAAGACAAGGTTGCATCGCGACCCAAAAGATCTCAAGAACAGTGAAACCATGTGTGTAAAGCAAGAGCCAAAGATGACAAACGAGCCAAAGGTAATAAGGAATCGTAAAAAAACTGGGAATTGGATAAAACATCACATCCCTAAGAAATAATGTCGAAAATGTCGTATTAGGCTTAGGTGATTCTGCAGGAGGAGTAGGGAAAGACACAGCAAATCTGATGGTGTATAAAAGCTATCAAATTTTCATCTGCCTTCAGGAAGATTAGTGGGGCAAGTCCAGGAGAAGAAGGTTGATCCATATAACAATCAATCTCACAATAGATAATAGTAGAAAAATCCAACGACAAGTCTCCCACTTGCTGCCACTAAAAATAGTGCTAGAGCTATAACACCTGAAGTGGGAACACGAACCTCAGAATTCATTGTAGAAACATGGAAATCTAACAAAACTGTTTGATGTAAAATATGAGAGTGTGAGAAAAAGAAAATAAAGACTGTGAAATAAAGTTAAAAGATTTCCTCAATGTAAAAAGAAAAAGGTAATGAAGAAATCCCACTTTGGAAATTAAACTATTAAAATCACGAAAACGATTCACACAAAGAGCATAAAAACAACAAAAAAGTCTGAACAGTGTACTGCCAAACGAGAAGTGAATAGAGTCACATGTGTCATGAGTGTATGTTGCACTCCTATTGGTGGAGGGTTGATGCATGATGATTTGCAAGAGAGAAGCATTGGAATTAGTCAATTCCAATGGAGGGAAGATAAAAGGCTTGTGGCATGCATAATTTTGTTTTTTACATATAAAGAGCAAAACTGAATGAGAATAGCTATTTATGTGAAAGGAGGTAATGTACCATATCAAAATTATGGTTTCCTGTTATTATTATTTTCAATTATTCCAACTATCTAAGTAATCACAATATTGCCATCAAACTCGTTCACCTTTCTTTGTTATGGCAAAGCTACCAAGGCTATCTGCCACTGTCACTAATTTTGAACTGCTGACTAGAGGCAACTGTTTGGCAGAAGCTGCCAGCAAACTTTTTTTTTACTTTTTGAACAGCTAATTAGAGGGAAGGAAACTGTTTGGCATCAGCTGCCAACCTTTTTTACTTTTTTAACTGCTGAATAGAGGAAAGGCATTTGTGTTGTAGCACCTACCACCAAACTTTTTATTACATTCTTGTACATACCATGGTTTAAGGAACACTGTAATAATCAATTAATCACATGTAATTGATTAAGGGGCCATTGATTAGTCAATTAGCAAATACCACTAATCACTTATGAGATCTCTCACTACCAATTACTCCTTTTTTTTTTTAATCAAAAATGCAATCCTTAAAGACAAGAATCATAAAATAAATTGCAAAAAGCATTAGTTCTAAACAAAACAAGTTAATATAGGATTTAACTAATGTAAGCACTTTTTAAATAACACAGTTTCATCTCTTTACTGATTTACAATTCAAGTTGTTACATCCATTTGTCCCCATTACAAATAATATAACTTTGTCCTGACACCTTTTGGATAAAGAAAATTTACCTTGCTCCTTTAAATGTATATATAAAAAACTATGATCGATTGGCTTGCAATCAATAATTAATTGTTAAATATAATTATTACTTACTTATTTATGTACTTAAAAAAAGTTTAAGTACTTTATATAATACTGGCTTTGAATCTTCTATGAAATGCATCTGCGTAGAGTGTATAGATAAAAAATGTTTTGGTCTCAGAGGTGATGAATGCCTCAAAGAAACTGAAGAAATATACACCCATAGCCTACAGGCAGATAAATTTCATGGAAGATTCAATGTCAATATTAAAAAAAAAATAATAATAAAAAATGAAAAAAGTTAAGTGTATACTTGAATAAATTATAAAGCAGCTGAATGAGTGACTTACATGGAAGAACAGACAGCCAGACACTTCTGTTAGAAAATCCAATAGAATTCCAGGCAAGACAACCATACCAGCCTTCATCTTCTTTTGTCACATTATCGATTACTAATAGATGAGGGTCTGTGATGTTCTGATTGTTACTCTGAAAGAAAGTGATTGGTTATTGGAATAATATAAAAGGCAATAAGTTCCTTTAACAAATTAAATTACACAACCTAAACATACATTTATTAAGTAGAAAACTACTACTTCGTAAAAAATAAATATTTAATTGTCTGAATGCAAAAGCAATCTATTATCCATTTAAGAAAAAACATGCTCATTATAAAAACAACTGGAATATAAATATGATTAAAACAAAGTTTTTTTAAGAATAAATACCTTTGTCTTTCAACAAACTTTAAATAAATGGTTCTTAATATTCAAAGTGAAACTTCAAACATTATAAAAAAGAACAACTCTGGAAGTTTTCAATAATGTTATTAGTTAAGACTGGCAATTATTCCCTTTTGTGATGAAATACTTGTATATTTTAAGTGAGAGAAATTATATTAGCAGATCACAATGTAAAACCTTTATTATTATTAATCCTCTAAGGGGTTTCAATATTATTAGGTTTATAAAAATAGCTCATTAGACATAACACAATTTACATTTTTTTACACTTAAACTATTAATTTTCTCTGACTAATATTTTTTCTACTGTCCCGAAACACTTCACTAAGGAACAAAATTAAACACAAAACCATGAGTAAGGCTTCCTTGCGTAATATCAAATAATCCCAAAGTAGCATCTTAAGAACTTTTCATCAGGCCTCAGGTGAACAATATTTTGATCAGCTTTAAGCCTGTTATATTGCTGTGACTGATGTATAAATATCACAGAAAAAACAGAAGGTACTAATAATAAGTTGTTTTTTAATAAATCCATGTTGGAACTTCAATAATTAGGGATTTTTTTTAAAAGATAAAATTTAAATTTTGAGGCTCTTCAAAATATGTTTGTACATTTAAAAGTAAGTTCCTGAAGTTATTCTACAAAAAATACTACTGAAAAACAATTTGATGCACATTTGAGATCATACTGCATACTAGGTGTTTTAAGGTTTGTCAAAGTGTAATTAACAAATATAAAAAAGTGTCATTACTGCAAGTTTAGGGGTTTAATAGCCTCTACTTTTATGACTTTCAACATTGAATAACCACTAGAAAATAAACAATAAGAATTATTTAACAAAAAGATTGTAATGAGTTAAGTATCCATCATAAAGAACAAAAATAATTCAGGTATCTTACTCACCAGGTCATCTTCAACGAAAGCATGTACGTGAATCATACAGTATTACTTTACAAGTGGTTTATTAGTTAAAACACTCATAATGCAAATTATTTTGTGCTGTTTGCATTATTTCTAAAATGTTTTTGATGAGTTTTCTTTAATTGTTGCAATATCACTGGCTTTTCAGGCAGATATAAAAAGCATCTAGTTAATAAAAACTGAAATATTATCAAATTCTAGTTCTTTAATTAACACATTTTTATTAAGAACAGTACCAAGAATAAAAATGTTATCCATTTTTTTAACCATCTGATATCAGCACAAATCAAAATATTAACCTCTCTGAATATTAATTTTTTTTGTAGATTAGAAAATGAGAAAGAAGGAAATGTCCATAATTACAAAAATAATAAGTTTAATAATTGTATCTGTAATTTCTTTTTTTAAAAGAAAGGTGAACTTTATTTATTTCTTATGATGAAAAGTAATTAAAATTGTTTTTGGTGTAAATCTGAATGGTGTAAAAGAAAAAAAGTAAGATTTAGAGCTTATATAATAAACATTTTCTCTAAGTTCAGTATACTAAAATTGTCCATTATATTAAGATTTCAGTATATCCAGATACCATTTTTTCTGAGACCTTAATATGGTTATTTGTTTGTTTTGAATTTTGCGTAAAGCTAGACGAGGGCTATCTGTGCTAGCCAACCCTAATTTAGCAGTGTAAAACTAGAGGGAAGGCAGCTAGTCATCACCACCCACAGCCAACTCTTGGGCTACTCTTTTTACCAACAAATAATGGGATTGACCATCACATTATAATACCTCCACAGCAGAAAGGGCGAGCATGTTTGATGTGATGGGGATTCAAACCTGTGACCCTAATCACTTGGCCATGCCAGGCCACCTTAATATGTATAGGTAGTCCATGTGTTTCTGACATGTTGTTGATATCCATGAAGACTAGTCTTTTATCATAATTATCAGTTACAATACACATATAAATTACATTTATTAAACATAAGTGAAGAGGTACATTTGATGTATTAGGGCTAAATAAAATAAAGGACTATGTAATTATTTCTATCACCTTTATTTCCTAATAAGTTAAGAAGTCAGTTTAAAAACTGAAATTTTGGCTATAATTACATCTTAAATGGAATACTTTAAAACTCAAACCTGGCTTTGAATAAAATAATTTGTGTTGCACTTTCTGTGGGATGATTAAACGTTTAAATGAATTAAAACAAGTTGTAGATAAGCAAAATAAATGTAAGTTACTCTAATAACATAAGCTTAGCTGTTAAATTTATTAATCAGTTGTATAAAAAATAAAATCCTTTCAAGTAAAACATGTGCATGATAATGAGCATAAAGTAAAACAATTTAGTGTAAGGAAGTATGTTATCATTATCTCTTCCTTCAGGTGTAGGCATCTACTGACATATAATCATATCATTACACACACATACCTTCTATTACTAATAACTTACAAGTTTCCTATTTACACTTTGTGCAATCACCTTGTCTTAACTGAAACTACAGTATATTGTAAATCTATAATCACATGCTTTGTACAATATGGTTATATTGTTGATTGAATTGTGACGTAATTTTATGCTAATGATTTTAAACATGTGACATTGGTGTATGCTGAACTGTGGTAATAAATTCTTTACAGCCAATTTAAGATAAATGTTACGTGTTAGTAATTTTTCATTACTACTGGTGTCTTAATGAATCCACCCCTCAGCATATAAATTTCACATCCCATATTTATGAATTGTCTTGTGTAATTCAATTTTCTGTATTAATAAACAGTTCCCAGTAACGGAGCTAGTCAAAGCTATTGTTGATTGTACAAAAGTATGGAACAAGATCATTCCAATAGTTATTATGTGCCATAATTCAGTTTCTCTGCAAACATTAAATTACCAGCTGTATGTATATTATAGCACAAGTAACTTCTTATTTAAAATAACCTTTGTTTTTTTTTGTAATATTTTCAACTTTTTTTCTGTGCTTTACTATGCATACAGAGAGAAGAGAATATAAACAAACCTCGATAACATGAACATAGAGGCTTCCATTAGCATCTGTATAAGATCCATTCACCATATAATATCTTAACCAACGTATGTGAGGGTGTAAGTCACTGTAGAAACGGCATTGAAATTTTGCTTGTTCTCCTACATATACTGTTTGATTTGATGGGTAGCCATCTCGAATTATAGGTCTTCGGGTCAAACGCTCTGAAAAGAAAAACATTTATAATTCAAATCTTGCCTGTTCTTCTAGATAACAATCTCACATTATAGGTCTTTAGGTTAAAGCTCTGAAGAGAAAACATAATTCAAACTTTATCTGTTCTCTTTTTAATTTCATGAATTACAGGTCATAAGTACTGAAAAATTGAAATTTTAACACTTTTTTAAAAATAGGTCAGATGGTTGAGTTTAATAGTGAAAAAAACTCCGTTAATTTCGCAACTATACCAACTAATTCTTTCTCTACAGTGAGTCTGCTTTATAAAATTAATACTATAATAGAAAGAGATCCTCTTAGGATGAAAAACATTAAGTTTGATATTTTCACTTCTGGGTATTTTGAATTTTCATAACCTATTGTAAACAAAGGGTTTAATAAATAATGAAAATGGAAAATAACATAAAAAATATGGCTAACCTACTATAGTTTATTGAATAAAAAAATCAACAACTCTTTAAAAGGCAAAAAACTATATCAATCATACCTTGAACTTCAACTTCAAAAGTCCAGCTGATTTTACCCTTACTATTTTCAACAACACATGTATAGTTTCCTTTATCATCAGGGCCAACAAGGTTCATTGTCATATTCCAGCCTTTATAGATAGTCTACATATAGATATGAGAAATGCTATAAACTACATACATTTCCAAATTATCTCACAACTTAAATCTTTTGTGATTAAAATAAAACCACTTAACAATTAAAATAATTTCTTCAAAATCCACTCTATTGATTTTGTTGTTTACTAGGAACTTAACCTGAAATTATAAATTACTTAGCAACAATTTAGTTGGATTTATGTTGTCCAATTAAAAGACAATAAGTTATTAAATTCCTTCATATGTTGATAAATTACCATGTCATTTCCACATCCTCATTAATTGCTTAGCAGCTTACTTGTTTGCCAATAAAACGAACAATTGGACTTGAGTCTTTCAACCACATTATATTTGGCTTTGGAAATCCATCAGCAGGACAAGCAAGAGTCACACTTTTTCCAGCAGGAACAACAATGAAGGCCTTTGACAGTAATTCTGGTTTAGTGAAGAATGGTGTACCTAGAGTTGGAACAAATTAATTAAAGTACTAGATCAAAATCACTCTTAAAATAAAACACTTTCAAATATACATAACGAACTATGTTGTTACTTAAATCTTTGTCACCTGGTTACCAATATCAATTTGTAATAAACTACGTCAAACAGAAAGACTAACTTTTTGTTCATAAAAACTCAATTATATTAGATATTTCCTTAAAATATTGTTGAAAATTAGCATGTTCTTTAGCATCATTTTAAGAGAAATTAATACAATTTACAGGACTTTAGAACTGATAAATCAATATATTGTGACTACAATAACTTCTGTGTTTAACTAGTTTATACTATAAATCACATTAAACTCATAATTCTTTTAAACTTTGGTTCAAATCATTATTCACTCAAGCTCTATGGAAATAACCAACTTAGGCTTACTTTATCATATTGTTGCGTCAGCGAGGTCACGTGATTGGTATCACGCCACGTCCTTCTCGAACCTTCGTGAACTGTCGGGAGATTACTAGATATAGGGTAGTCTGGTATATATAAGACCGGCCACGAAGCAACGGGACA